TATAATGTCAACTTCAAAATAAAATAATCCACATTGTTCAGGAATTGGAAAATTTGCTCGAATTGCAGCACAGTTTTCTTCTCCAACCAGGCCTTTATATTTGAAAATAATTGAGTTATGCAAGAATAAGCGATTCCATACGAAAACAATAAAATTCTAATTGTTATAAACTTGAAATGTAAATACTCACCTGTATAAGTCACTATAAGCTTGTCCGAATTAAATTTTAAAAGATTAAGTTCATCATTAATATCCCATGCGGTTGGTGATTCCATAATGTTGCGAACCCCTATTAACAAGAATGATAGCAGAATTTGACTTGAAGGATGAATGGTAGCTTGATTAATATGCGTTTCAGTGTGGGAAACCTTTTCTAGTTAATTGTTCTAAAAATTCCGAAGCTTTAAATATGTTGCGAGTTTAATTTATTTATTTATTTATTCATTTATTTATTTATTTTTGGAAAAAAAACTTTATATATTTCTGCATGTATATGTATATCAATTCCTTATACATAATTTGTGTTTCATTCAATAATGCAAAATTTCATCTTTGGTTGATCAATTTCATTATACGTACAGTACCTAATGCATAATATAAATTTTACTACTTGAATTTGCTGCGTCATGTGTCATATTATAATTATTTTCTCAAAAGTTTATATTGCATTATCAGTTGGTGTAAGTGTGTATATTTTTAAAAAATATTTATTGCAACGAGTTTCTACGTATTTTTTTTAATTTTAATAACGTTTTTGGTGATGCAGTGTTCAGTTGCTAGAATACGCATAAGCAGATTTTTTGTTTTTTAGTAATTCTGCTGCACTGGTTGATAGAAAGTTAACTACATTTATGTCTCTCTGTGTTGGGTTTTTTTTAATATAAATTAAACTTTATAATATTTTTTTTTGATATTTCCGTACCTGTATAGTTTCTGAGTTCATGCATGATTTTAATTAAGGATAGAGAAGAAAATATAAATCGTCTTTTCATTTACAAGAATATTGGCTGGGAAATATTGAAAATAATGTTTGATTGTTATTTTTTTTAATTAATTTTAATTTTTTTTAGCTCTTTATGTATTAAAATTTATTTAAGGAAGAAATGGTTCAAGTTTTTATTAAAAATTAGTAAATACAAAATAAAAAAGATAACCAACGATTACTGCCCGATTCGAATTTAACCCATGACCCGTTAGAATAGGGATTTTTTAAGCAAAAAAAAAAAGAAAAAGAAGTCTGTTGAGTTCTTTGATTTTTCTTTCACTTATTTACTGTTTTATTTTATATGTAATGGTTATTTCACGGGATATCAATGAATTTCACGGCTGCGCCGTGAAAATCATGATATTCATCGTGAAATAACTGTTTTATATCACGGTTCCGTTATATCGTCATATTCTTTATAAACTTTTTAATCATTCTTTTTAGCGTTATCCTTTTTTTTCCAATTTTTTTACTTCAACTTTCTTTCACTTCACCTTTTTTATTTTTATTTCCTTTTCTTTCGTTTTAACTATGGGTAAAAAATATAGTAGAATTTCTTCTGCAACAAATATGCCCTTTCCAAGTTTTCAAACAGCAGTTAGTTTAATTTTTAACGAAGATATTGCTCAAGAAAAAGCTTTCTATTATCGTGAAAAAGCAAAAGTAAAAATACTGAAAAATCTACCAAAAGCTGGACTATGAAATTCGAAGTAATGCCGGTTATTTTGTTCCTTTGACTGAACTTAATAACATATCGCAACTTCAAAAACAAATTGTTGAATTTATCTCTGCAATGAAAAAAAATAATGGCAATGAATATAAAGCAACATTGGTTAAGCAAGCTGTTGATGCACTTAATAAACATCTTCTTCATCATTCACCTATTTCACATTAATTTGCATGATAAAATCTGTTTTCTAATTTACATGATGTTTTACATGATAAATTACGCGATCTGCAAAAACAAGGATTTGGCAAAAAATCTAGAACTTTTGTTCTACCTTGAGAGATTGCTAGACCGGTACCAACTGATGGGGAGATATCCATAGAACACAAAGAAGCAAGTACAGCAACACTTGTAAGATTATTGCTTTCTTCATCAATATTAGTCGTATTATTGCTTCCAGATTTATTTTCAATTAAATAATTCTGTAATCAACTAATTCTTGAAGTAGCTCATGGCAGCAACCAATACTTTTAAAAATATTAGATTATCTTGTCAGATTAATGAAATAATTCCACCATAAATGTACCTATATCATAAAAAAATATGTTCATTTTTTATGAAAGAATTACTTCAAAATAATTTGAAAAATTTTTAGAGAAATATTTGGCAACTTAATATGAACTAGAACGTTATCATTATTCTTTTTATTGGAAGACAACTTTCAATTGTAATATCATAATATTCATCATCATCTAAAATTTCGATATAATTTTGTCTTAACTTTTGTAAAGATATCTCGACATTTTTTTTTTAAAAAAAAATCTATCGCTATGTTTAAATAGTTTCTTAATAGTTGTGTCACCTCACATATACCTATAATAGGAAATTCAAAATTTAAACATCATCAGATTTCAAAAAAATTTTTTTTTTTTGTTTCCTTAAAATGATTTTCGCGTGTCAGTTTTGCCGAAATACTAATGAAAATGAAAATACCCTTTTGTATACAAATCGATCGATTTAATTTAATAAAAAGTTATAAAATTGTAAAAAAAAAATTTATTTTTTTTTTATCCGACTTCGTTACATTTTATATTATGAATTAAAATATTAAACAATTTATTGATAAGATATTTTTATCTACGATTGCATCGATTCTTTGAATTCGAATTGTGATTATGATCTAAATTATTTTACAATTGAATTAAATAAATGTTCATCAATAGTTATTTAAATCGATTTTTCACTACGTAATTTACTCGTCATCTTTAATTCTTTTCTCTTTTTTTCTCCATATTTACTTTCACTCATATATACCATTTTTTTTATTTTATTTTTTTTTTTGTTTCGATGATATTTTCAGGAGGGAATGATTTAACAAATGCTAAGAAGTCTCGTAAGAGAAATTGTAGAAAAGCATAATGGTCATACTGTAATCGGCCGTTAAAGAGATGAGATCTATTAGAAAATGGCTTATGAAACAGTTGGTGATGAAAGGTCTATACAGTTTACTGTGATGACTACTTCTGAAGATTTAAAGATTAATGCTGAATGTATTCGTATGGCTGATCAGTTTATCGAAGTACATGGTGGTTCTAATAATAATTATTATGCTAATGTTTCATTAATTGTTGATATCGCCGAACGTACTGGTGTTCATGCTGCTTGGGCTGGCTGGTAAGCATTATTCTAAAAAAAAAAAAATTAATAATAATACCGTGTATATATATTAATTTTCTTTTAAAATAATGAAATATGATTGATCTTCTCATATAGGGGATCTGAGAACCTAAATTACCCGAATCATTAGCGCAGAGTAAACATAAGATAGTTTTCATTGGTCCTCCCGGTTCAGTGACGCGTACGTTAGGTGATAAAATATCTTCTATGATCGTTGCTCAATCTGCAAATATTCCTACGATGGATTGGAATGGTAATGATGTCACCAAAACTGAATTTGATGAAATAGGTCATGTTATTGTTTCCGAAAGTGTTGGCGAGTTTCAAGGACGTTGATGATGGGTTAAATAAAGCAAATATCATTGGATTTCCTATCATGACCAAGCTTCAAAGGGTGGAGGAGGAAAAGGAATTAGAAAAGTGGAAAATCCAAATAATTTTAAGCAAGCATTTGCTCAAGTTCAAGGTGAAGTTCCTGATTCACTGACTTTCATCATGCGATTTGTTCGAGATGCTCGTCATTTCGAAGTTCAAGTTTAGCAGATCAAACGGAAATGCAATCTCCTTATTTGAAAAAGGTTGTTCGGTTCAAAGGCGTCATCAAAAGATCATTGAAGAGGCTCCCGTTACGATTAAAAAATAAGAGACATAATAACCGATAGAAAGAGCTGCTGTTAAATTAGCTAAATTAATTGGTTATGTTAGTGTGGGAACCGTTGAATATCTTTACATTTTAACCAAGATTACAGGTTGAACATACTACGACAGAAATGGTTTCAGGTGTGAATTTACCTACTCAATTACAATCGCTACTTCATCAAATTCGTTCCGAGATCAATTTTGATTTTTCGGATCTCGAGTCTCTTCAAACTCAAAGGAGACCTGCACCAAAAGGTCATGTAATAGCCGTTCGTATAACAGCGGAAAATCCTGACGCAGGATTTAAACCAAGTAATGGTATGGTGCATGAACTTAATTTTTGCAGCAGCACGAATGTTTCTCGGTTAATTCCGCCGGTGGCCTTCATGTCACATTTTCGCTTATGGTGAGAATCGTCAACAATCTCGAAAGAATATGATAGTCGCGCTTAAGGAATTGTTGACTCGTGGGGACTTTAGAACCACAGTGGAATATTTAGTCAAAAGCTTTCGAAGAAAATAGTTTTACAACGGGATGGTTGGACACGTTAATATCTGATGAAAATCTAACGGCCGAAAAGCCTGATAAAGTGTTGGCTGTGATATGAGGTGCAGTGACCAAGGCTTATACAGCAACTGTGGAATCCATAATGGGATATAAACATTTCTTGGAGAAAGGAAATCCCTAGCAGATATATATTGCGTACCGTCTTCATCATCGATTTTATTTACGAAGGCGTCCATTATAAATTTACCCCCACTAGATCGTGCTCTACCGATGGTGGGTTAATAGTTTTGTTGGACGGAAAAAGCCAGTCTTGTTATTTTTGCGAATAATTCACTCTCTTCTGGAAAGCTTGTGAGATTTTGGTGGAGTCTGGCGATCATGTAAAAAAAGGTGATGCTTACGCTGAAATTGAAGTAAGATTTACAATTTATATCGATTCTTAGAAGAATCAATTTAAGTTTTACTTTTTTATATCATCTAAATTATTTAACATTGATTAATATTTAGGTGATGAAAATGTACATGCCAATTATCGCAATAGAAGATGGTATTGTTCGAATTATAAAACAACAAAATTCTACGCTCGAATCCGGTGACATTATTTAATTCTCACTCTTGATGACCCTAGTCGAGCTCGTCACGCGTTACCTTTTGGGACAACTTCCTGCAATGAATCCGCCCGTTTTAGTCGGTGATAAAGCTCATCAGATATATTGTGAGGTCAAGCATATCCTTGAATGTATGTATATTGGATGGTTATGATAATCAACCAATGTTACAGAGTAACGTCAAATAATTAATCGAACTTTAGAAAATTCCGATCTTCCTTATTTAGAATCCCATGCAGTACTTTCAGCACTCTCCGGAAAAATCCCGGCCAAACTTTATTGAGAATTTCTAATGAGACGCATAGTCAAGGATTAGAAAATCCTGCTAAACGATTAAAAAAAATGTTTGATAATTATTCTCTCGATTTTGTCAAACCTTCAGACCTTTCAAGTTTTAAATCTGTGATCGCTCCCGTGAATGACATTCTTGAACGATATGTTTGTGGTCTAAAGCACCTAAAGTGGAATTATATCACTTATTTGTTAAGCAAGTATCATGATATGTTTTGTTCTCGAATTCGAACAAACGTGAAGAAGAAGCTGTCCATGCTTTACGGGACGAATACAAGAATGATCTGGACAAGTTCGTCTCTATTGTTTTGTCACATTCCAAATTTGATTCAAATAATAATCTGATATTACATCTTTCAGATCAGATTAGGCAAATGTTGGACAAACCCTTGACAAATTCTATTCACCGATTTTTAAAAAATTGGCGGAACTTGGAGGACGTTTGAAAAAGGGTATGCTCAAATGGAACAAATGTTGAAAGTTGCTGTTATAGAGAGTCATTATGGAGATGATGGTTATAATTATCGAACACAAGTTATGGTTCTCTCAAAGAATTAATTGATACGCGATTTACTGTTTTCGATGTTCTTCTGAATTTCTTTATCATCAAGATAGTTAAGTTGGCTTGCCACATTAGAAGTTTAAGCCCGACGCCTATCAACTTATAAACGTTGAATACCACACCACACTGATCAATCCCCATTTATGGTCTCTTGGAACTTCTCACTTCATAGTGCTACGACTGATAGTCCAACTGGTTCGGTCGAAAGCCCTCATTTTTTAGTATGAGACGTTCAGCTTCAATACCAGATTTAAGTTAATTGATTCCGAAAACCGAGAATGAACCACTTCATGTTTGCGCCATGATTACATGCATTTTGAGAAATAGAAAGAAATATACCACTAATTTTAAAACTTTTTCCAAAAATACAAACTATCCAAGGATGGAAATCTCAGGATCTATCAGATAGAAACAATATAAATAATGTTTTGAACTTCACTTTAAGGCTGGAAGATGATGCTATAGAGGATGAAGCTTTGAAAAAACGACTAAACCCCTTATACAACGACATTCTTATGAATTACGTGAACATGGGATACGAAGAATTACTATTGTCCTATTTCGTAAAGGTCAATATCCGGGGTATTTCACGTTCCGTGAACAACAGATTATACTGAGGATCAAACGATTCGTCATATCGAACCAGCCATGGCCTATCAACTTGAGCTTACGAGGTTATCCAATTTCGATATTACTCCTTGCTTTACCGACAATAGACAGATTCACGTTTATTATGCTGTTGGTAAAGAAAATACTTCGGACTGTAGATTCTTCATTCGATCCTTAGTTCGTCCTGGTCGGTTGCGAAATAGCGTGCGTACGGCGGATTATCTAATCTCGGAGTCCGACAGATTATTGAATGAGATTTTGGATTCTCTTGAGATTGTTAGTTCAGAACATAAAATTTCTGACTGCAATCATTTATTTATAAATTTCATTCCAACATTTGAGTTAGAACCAAAGCAAGTTGAGGAAGCTGTTAAAGTATTGATTAATCGGCACGGCAAAAGATTATGGAGGTTGTGTGTGATCGGAGCCGAAGTTCGTTTCAAAGTTGAAGACCCTACATTAGTAACAAGTTATCCTTTACATGTCATCATTAATAATGTCTCTGTGTATGTTGTTAAGTAGAAACTTATCAGGAGGGTGAAAACAGAACGTGAAAGCTGGAAACCATACACCTTACCCAACAAAATAATGGCTTCAACCAATGCTCATTTAATGGGTACCGCCTACGCTTACGATTTTCCCGCCAAGCTATTAGAATACTATAGAATCGTGCATCTCATCATAGTTCAAACCTTGAATGTCCTAGTGATGTATTGGAAGCCAAAGAACTTGTGCTTGACGAGAATAATAATATACATGAAGTGGAGAAAGCTTCGGGAACGAATTCATTTGGTATGGTTGCATGGATCTTTACTCTTTTTACCCCCCCCCCCCCGAATTTCCCAAAGGTAGAAAGATTATCGTGATTGCAAATGATATCACATATCACATTGGATCTTTTGGTCCTTTAGAAGATCAATTTTTCTACAAAGCAACCGAATTGCAGAAGTAGTTATGAATCATTTTAACGTTGCATGGATTGATAAAGGAAATCCAAGAAAAGGTATCAAATATCTTTATTTTGATTTGGAGACTATAAGCAATTACATCAAAATGGAAGGAAACACGTTATCGCGGAATAAATTGTTGAGGAAGGAGATACACGACAAAATCACCGACATTATTGGATCAAAAGATGGGCTTTGTGTTGAGGTTTCAGGATTATTCGCTGGGATAACATCGCGAGCATATGAGGACATTTCACAATAATGTTAGTTACTTGTCGTTCAGTTTGTATGTATTCATCTCATTGCAAGTCAATTCTTAAAAAAATTTTTTCTTTAACCTTCTTGTTATTTTTATTAAGATATTGGAGCTTACTTAGTAAGGTTGGGACAGTGTATAATAGGGTCAACACGTAATATTAACCGGATCACCAGCATTGAATAAAGTATTGGGAAGAGAAGTTTATACAGGAAATCTACAACTTGGAGGCACGCAAATTATGTTAAAGAATGGAGTTTCACATTTGACTGTACAAAATGATTTTGGGTATTACAAAGGTTATGCAATGTCTTTCTTGCGTTCCAGCCGAAATTCTATATTTATGAATTCAGATACTTTGGACAGGGATGTTAATTATGTGCCTCCGAGGGCCTTACGATCCAAGATGTACTACAAGCAGCCTGTATTTGTTTATATTGTTCCAATGGAGAACTTCGTGGTGATGCTTGGGTTGTAATAGATCGATGATATGATGGAAATGTACGCCGAAGCAAAATCAAAAGCTGGAGTACTTGAATTGTAGAAATCAAATTCAGAAAGCCATAATTGCTCGCAACAGCAGAAAATGTACCGTAATCTTAAGAAATCATTAAATGATCCGACAATATCTGAATCGCAAAAACGAGAAATTAAATTACAGTTGGATGCAAGGGAACAAGAATTATTACCCATACACCAGGAAGAATGAAAACCAAAGAAACGATAAGAAAATCGTTAGAATGGAAGGAATCTAGAAGATTCTTTTATTGTCGTGTTCGAAGAAGGTTACATATTTAGAGATTTGATCAAGACAATTTATAAATTGACTAGAAACGAAATTAATTGGTTTAAAAAGGTTAATAATATTGAAAGTGATAATAATGAATTTGATTGGGAAGAGAAATTGTGAAATGATTTGAAAAACCTTGGATGATGGTAGTGATAGATTCGAATGATGATGATGACGATATTACCGTAATACCGAAAATAACGATTAATGAAAGGATTGAACAAATTTAGAAATGAAGTTATAGCGCAAAATATTTTAGACATGAGTTATTAATTCGAAAATAATTTATTAAGAAAATTAATGGTTGGGAATAGAATTCAACCATAAAATGATACGTAATTTTAAATACAGTATATAGGTGGACGTATTTTTATATGACATCACGAATTATTTTTAATAGCCGATCACATCATTGTTGTCCAATAATATAGCTTCGTTCTATTTTTGATCGACATTTCCGTTGTTTACCACACGTGTTTTTTTCAAATATAA